GAGTGTACTGTCCCAAGCTTCGGGGGTTTGTACAGTACACTCTTCACATTGGAAGCAGACTTTTACCTTAACAAAGAGTTTAAAATTCAAGTAATTGGCTGGGATCATGAGTAAGCAGCAGAAAAAGAGTCAGACTATATTATCTTACTTTGGTGACAAAGAAGATCAAAACATACAACCAGAAGAAGAAAACAAAGTCAAAGCTCCTACATCCAAAGCCTCCAAGAAAAATATGAATCAGCCCCAGGCCTTGGAAGAGCTCAAAAGGGTTTTTGAGAAGCAAGTAAGAGAAGTAGAGGAAAAAACTGGGAAGAGAAAAGAGAGTCATGCAAGAAAATCATGAAAAACAAGTCAACAGCTTGCTTAAGGAGACCCAAAAAAATACTGAAGAAAATAACACCTTAAAAAATAGCATAACTCAAATGGCAAAAGACGTTCAAAAAGCCAATGAGGAGAAGAATGCCTTCAAAAACAAAATTGGCCAAATGGAAAAGGAAGTCCAAAAGATTACTGAAGAAAATACTTCCTTAAAAATTAGAATAGAGCAATTGGAAGCTAGTGACTTTATGAGAAATCAAGACACTGTAAAATAAATCCAAAAGAATGAAAAATTAGAAAACAATGTGAAATATCTCACTGGAAAACAACTGACCTGGAAAATAGATCCAGGAGAGAAAATTTAAAAATTATTGGACTATCTGAAAGCCATGATCAAAAAAAGAGCCTAGACATCATCTTTCAAGAAATGATCAAGGAAAACTGCCCTGATATTTTAGAACCAGAGGGCAAAATAGAGATTGAAAGAATCCACTGATCTCCTCCTGAAAGAAATCCCCAAAGGAAAACTCCTAGGAATATTGTAGCCAAATTTCAGAGTTCCCAGGTCAAAGAAAAAATATTACAAGCAGCCAGAAAGAAACAATTCAAGTATTGTGAAAACACAATCAGGATAACAGAAGATTTAGCTGCTTCTACATTAAGGGACCGCAGGGCATGGAATATAATATTCTGGAGCGCAAAGGAGGTAGGATTACAATCAAGTAACACTTACCCAGTAAAACTGAGTATAATCCTGCAGGGGAAAAAATGGTCATTCAGTGAAATAGAGAACTTTCAAGTATTCTTGATGAAAAGACCAGAGCTGAATAGAAAATATGATTTTCAGATACAAGACTGAAGTGGAACATGAAGAGGTGTTTACCTTCTCTTTAGGAAAGAGAAAATCATAAGATACTTATGAAGGATGAACTGTTTACATTCCTGCATGGAATGATGATATTTGTAACTCATGAGACCTTTGTCAATATTAGGGTGGTTGCAGGGGGAAAAAAATTATATGTACATATATATAGATATAGATAGATAGATAGATAGATAGATAGATAGATAGATAGATAGATA